ATCCTAATTCATGTTTTAATTGTTTTTTATTTTTTTTTGAGAATGCTTCAATTGAAATTTTAATTAACCTTCTAATAAATTAGTGTATTTATACATAAAATAATTATTTTGAGGGCTTAAATAAATGTAAAAAATACATTTATTTCTATAGAAAATATTTTCTATGCACAGAAAAATTCATCTAAGTTCATAAAATATTCTTACATGTTCTTAATGATTTTTCTATACCCATTGGATAATTTTCAAACATATTTAAAATACTCAAAATAATTAATTTACAAAAAAACACTATTCATGCGTCTAAAATATTCAATGAACATCGGAAAACTCACCCAATGACACAAAATAATCTAACACCCTCAAGCAAATATTCTATGCAAATAGAACATTTTTCATGCACATTTAAAATACTCAAAATATTTATTTTACATAAAAAGTTACTATTCATGCATAAAAAAAACATATAAAATATTCATTCAAGCACAAAAAAAAATTATCTTAGAGAGATGCGTATATCATTTAGGATTGATGTCATTTGTAAGTTGGTGTAAAAATTTTATTCTCAAGACTTTGTTGATCATGAAATACCGCAATTAAAGATGCAATTTGAGCATTTGATCATCTATGAAATTTTTCCGATTTTCAAACATTATCGGCTATATCTGATTTTGTATTAATGGTTAATGAAGGTAAGAAAATTTGAAAGTTATCCACTTATGTATAGAGTGATAATACTTATTCTTCCTATTTAGTTTCTACTATTACCACGAAGTGATCATTTTCGACTATTAGCATAGTCAAGACTAAATTTCGTAAGAAAATGAAAAATGAATTTCTTTTCGATCCTTTGTCGGTATATATTGAAAAAGAAATTGCTAAAAACTTTAGTATAGGTTTCCTTAAAAATGATTCTCGTGATCTAAAAGAATAAAGATTTTTATTTTGAGCGATTGTATTTTGAGACTATTTTAAAATATATATTGGTATGTTATTTATAATATAGATAAGTTTGTGTAAACCATTATAAATTTATAAATATTTATTTTGACCTATAGACATTTGATCCCGCAACCATCATCGCTTATCCGACAATTAATCATTTTCTTAATATATATATAAGAAATTAAATGAGAGACCTTTTTATGAGGAAGGTAACAGAATATTCTCAAATTCAATACTGGTTTTCAAAAATAGATCATTTGGGTTCGGACTGCGTTTAAAAGCATTTATTCAAAATATATACATATGATGTTTTTTTTTAAGGTATGTTTGAATAGTTTTGATGCATTAGTAATAAAACCATTAACATACATATAAAAACACTTGTAACGCCTGACCGCAGTATCAAAATGCACGATCTTTATTTATTTATTTATGTATTCATTCAAACCTGAATGATAATTAAAGGAGTATATTATAGATTAATCACTCGTATTTTTAGAAATAAATTAATTAGTTTTTGTCTTTTTATTGTTAAACGAATCGTTTAGTCTAGTTATATGTCTTGAAATCTACTTGTAATTTAATATTTTTATTTTTTATTAATTTATTTTGATTTCTATTTTAATAAATAAAAATAATATTAAATTAAATATGATTAAAACTAGTTAAATAACTAAATAACATTTTTTAAAACAAGAAAACTAATTAATTTAATTTTTGAAACTAAGAAGACTAATTTATAATTTAGTGGATAAAGAAGTAAGCAAATCGAACCCCTAGTTAATACGACAACAAATCTTACCGTTCTTTGCAGTGTCCAAATCAAATCCCTAATTAAGTTGAAATAAAAGGTGAACGAGAGCAAATAGAACCTGATCACGTTGTAATCTTCTGCTTGATTTCGCGCGATGATGTCTTCCCATGATTATTTTCTTTAACCTATGCATCTCTCTTTCATTCTCAAATAGAGATAGTACTCAGTTTCAGAGGTCTCATTTTTTAAGATGGCAACGAATCAAAGAAGGATCCATTTGAAGGGCTATCATCCCTGGATCTATGATCAATAGGTTTGGTTCCGACTAACAAAAGTTATATATATATATATATATATATATAATTCCGGTGTTTTTAATTCATTTCTCGTCTCAGTTTAATTTTTTATCATAAGATCTGAATTAACCATAGATATTTATTTTCCTTGAAGTCTTGAACTAGTTCTAATAACAGAAGCAATTGACATTGAGCAGTTGTATTAGTATATTTTATAAGGTATATATATACTGATAATTGTTGTGTTAATTATTTGAGCAATTAATTCATTAGTACACGTGTGGGGTGCGCATTAACTAATTATTACATAATGAACTAACTCTTTTTTTTTTTTCAGGGGACTTATATTAATTTATATGTTTATAGGAAAATACCCACACCTTTTTATATAATTTATACTAATTATTTTGCTCCTTAGAACTACAATCTTTATATAATGCATCGATTTATAAATACACTTATTAATTCAATAATTCTTAATTTCAATAGAAATTTTTGAACTAAATTATAAATTAGTCCCTTTATTTTTTAAAAAATAAATTAATTAGTTTTTCTTGTTTGAAAAACTAATTATTAATTTAGTTCTTTAACCAACATTAATCATGCTTAATTTAATTAGTATAAAGATTTATAAAAATTGTGTCATGTGAGTTGAATTATAGTTTAGATTTTAAAAATAATAATAATGTGTGTACATATTTTTAAATAGAAAAATGAAATATTGTATTTGGATATTTTTATTTTTTCTACAATTATTTATGTCTTCATGAGGCGAAATCCGTTGTAGTAGACTTAATTATGAATTTGTTAATTTTCCTCATGTTAAAATAAAATCTTTGAGAATGCGTAAAAGCACATTTCCGTCGGATATATATGTTGCACAAAAGATCGATGCTGAGAATTTTTTAGAAGAAACATGACAGCCTAGTGGTTTGTCATGCGTCTGATATTTACTACACTCAACTTTATTATGCAAGACAAAGAAAATACACATGATTTTCCATCATCTTTTCATACTCAAAGCTACTAATAGGTTATTTTATTAGGATTTGAACTAGTGATCTCTTATAAGAGACTATTATCACTAGGCTACATGTTTTTTAATACATTATAATTTATTCTTGCGTGCTCCTTATTTGACCATCATCTCCTCCATTAGATATGAGCATGGGTTATATCATAAGCATCAGAGTAATTAAGCTTCAGCTGAACGAGTTCGCTGATATCATATGGATATGCATCTTTATGTGTCTGGCGTTTATATGCTCTTTTTCCAAATTCCCATGCTTTAGCTTCAGTAAAATGGGCTCCGTCCCAGTATACATACTCACTTCTCTTGCCACATGGAAATGAAAGAGGTTCACATGGAACACCTCCAGATACTGGTACGTTGCAGCAACTCTGACGATTATATTTGAAGCCTGGAAAGCAAGCAAAATGTAATATTGGTAACAAAAGTAAAATGTGTATATTTATGGAGCTAACACTCTCCCTCACTTGAGATAAGTTACGTACCTTTATTTGTCAGATCTTCAGAATCAATTTCGTAAGAGTTTATGTAGGTAAATACAGCATCAAGGTGCCTGTCATTAAGCTTTTTGAGCAATTTTCTGAGCTTATCATTGAAAATTTTAACATCATCGTTCAGCTTGTATGCACATAATTCATCATCTAGTTCATTAGGATGTTGTTGTATGTTGGAGGGCATACATCCTACCCGAATAAGTCCAAAAACAGCTATCTTTCTTGCTCCTGTATCATACAAATCCTGGCAGGAAGAAAAAATGGCATTAAGTGGGGCTCTTTTTTGGTTTCTCATCACATCATACCTTCGGTATTGTTTTATAATTAAGAGACACAAATTAAGCAGGGCTAACCTCGAGCTGAGTTTCATAAGTTTCAATGAGAAGTTGCGCAAATTCTTCAGGTGAATATAACTCACTACTATTGTAGCCATCCTTGAAATAGTTGTTGAGGTAGTCGTTATGACCCATATCAGACACGTATATGCATTGGCTTAGGTACTTCTTGGCAACTTCCTCACTTCCCAAGATTTTGGCAATCCGTGAAACACTAATTTTGTGATTATATAACTGAATATTCATGGTGAACAACTCTCCCTTTACATACACAAAAGAAAAATTTATATAGTTAGTGTTGCCAAAGTACACATGATTCTGAAATTTATACTTAACTATTTAACTTTTTGTTTAATTGAAAGAATTAAGTTGATCAGTATTAAAAAAAAAGGAAAAAGAAAAAAAAAAGATTATAGAGAGAGGGGCGGCCATCAATAGAATGCACACCAAATAAAAACTGACACTAATTATATAAAATGTATTTTCTTTAGTTATCTATTTTCTAAAAATGGTCTCTGGAAAACTAAAAACTTTTCTACAAATATATACCAAATCATTTAAATATATTTGTTATAATTCTTTAATCAACCACAATTTCAATATTGATATGAGAGGCATATGATCAGTAATTACCGCAAGACATCCAGTTTCATCAAGAATACCAGCTCCACCAGACCCATAATTTGCACCATCTAGGACATTAGGGATACCTCCAAGACCAAAGTCCGAAATGAAACCATCGAAGCCTAATTGTTCCCCTGAAACAAAACAATATTTAGTTAGTTCAATAATTGTAAGATTATATACTTACTAATTTTAATATATATATATATATATATATATATATATATATATATATATATATATATATATATATAAAGAGATTTGAGCCTGAAATATCTGAGGAGAGGGAAAAAATGAATGATGGCTGAGCTACAAGCTCATAAGCACTTTACGTGTATAGCATTAATAGCCCTCCCTACTTCTGTCGGTATGAACAAGTCATTTTATTAATAATAAATTATTTAAATTTCAGCAACAAAAGTATTAGTAGCAGATTGAGTCAATTTCAAAATTTAATATAATAAATTGGTCATAACATTCTCATGAAAATATATTTCTTTCGTTCAGTAAAACAAAACAAAATTGCTATGTTGTCTTATAAGAGTGGAGAGCAAACTGCGAACCAATGACGTCAGCTATGTTGAGACCATTGCTACACCTTCCAGTAGCCCCATTGACAAAATCTATGCCATAAGGTAGATAATTAACTTTAGCTGGTGTGTTAAGGTTGTTATTGTTTCCATTATCAAACAAGGAGTCTCCAAAGACGAAGTAGCAAGGAACTTTAGGTATGGGCCTTCCATCAGTACAGTGTTGCCAGTTTGACACCAGCAACACCACAGACAGCACCCACAATACCTTGAGTTCCATTAACAGGCAAAATGAGAGGAGAAACAAAAACAAGGTAAAGAGAAAGAAGGAAGAAGTGAATAGCTAGGAAAGGGTACTTGGAAGTAGAACGAACCAGGACTATTTATAGAGTGAAGGAAAAAATTTAAATTGACACAGGGAATCTACAGAGAACGGACGACACGTCTGATCAACAATTAAAATTATCTATTTATAGAGTGAAGATCTAGCATGATGTGGAAAGTCGAAAGAAGGTTGGAGTACTGTAGATCAGTTGTGACCAAACCTAATTGCGCTTCTTTTTTTCAAAATAATAATAATAATAATAATAAATAAATTGACACAGGGAACCGATAGAGTATTGACGACACGTCTGATCAACAATTAAAATTATTTAATTTGAATTACAAAATATATATTTATTTAATTTGATTTCGACGTTATTACAAATTCTTCACACAATGAAAACAAATTTAAGAATTAATACAATAAAGTAGTTTTAAAATTTTTCTTGAACGAAATTTTGAAATTAATATAAAATTTTATATTTTATTTCATTCAAAAAAGTTCATTTTTTTCATTAATTTGATTTTTTTAAAAAATATTCATTGAATTAACTCTTTCAGGCCCGATGATTGAATAAAAAAATATCATTATAATTTTGATCAAACCACCATAGTAAAGTTGATAAAGACGTTGTTTTTAGGAAGCAATAGTAAAGTATTTCAGTTCAAATCTGAATTGTGGATCGCATCTTACAAAAGAGCAAGAGATGAGGGCTACCACTGGCGAGGCGGGTAGGGTTAATTAACGTTTTCAAATGTGAGAGACATTGAGAGAGTAATAGAGTTATATAAATGGTTAGTATATTCACATGAGCATTCTGCATAGCATTTGCTGTAGTATCACCCCAAAAATTCATCAATTGTTGGTACAAGTTCTTTTTGTCGTGAATGTCATAAACTCTTTATGACCAAAAACTGGTCGACGTTAATGTTAGTACTAATTACACGGACATGCATGTTACTACAAGTTTTCAGCATATTCAAGTATTGTGGTAGAACTTAAAATAACAAAACTATATATCCTCTCTTATGAAATAATGAATATCCATTTGAATATTTATATATTTTTTATATCCTCATTATTATAATTCTTAATTTGATTCAATTTATTATTCAATATATGAAATTAAAAAGGTGATATAATTGATTCAATAATTTATGTATTTCTAATTATTCATAATCCTTTTCAATTCTTTTTTCACTTTTAAAACTTATAAATAGGCTTGATTGCTCATTAGTTTATGTACAAATATTTTATAGAGATTGAGAGAATTATTTGGAGTTGTTATCTTTTGTATTTTCTTTATTTCATAATGAAATCATTTCTTAATCATTTTCTTTTCAATTTTCTCATTGCTACTATTTCTTTTATAACAAATCAAGATAATACACCATGAGGTATGTATCTATCAAAAGACTTAAATATTTTTTTCAACCATTAGATGTTTTCTACACAAGTGTTCTATTAAAAGATCTAAATTATTTAAATCATTAAGAGGTGTGTATCTAATTTATCATGTACTTTAAATATAATGATACATAGAGTGTACATTTGAAAAACTTAAATGATCTAATATGTAGAATCTAATGATCTAATATATATTTTTTGAAAAGTTTAAATTTTATTATTATGTTTTTTTTTATTTCTTAATATTATTATTATACTTTGCATTATGAAAATTTTATGATATCAAGCCTCATAAAACTTAATTTTGTGGCCCTTGACATTTTGAGTAAGAATTATTGATCATGAATATTCTCATGCAAGTAGTATATTGAGAAAAATAGTTTAAGAAATATTCTGAATTGATTTCATATTTGCTCATGGTTAAATAAAATTGCATGTTATTGATGAAAAATAATAAATCTTGTCCAGCTGGATCTATTCCATTCCCTAAAGTGAATGTGACAACTTATAATAATTTTAGACATGGATGAAGATGTGATAATAGCCATGGATGTGGTCGAATAATTATTATTATAATCATGATGACCATAATAATACTTCTCACCACTAGAAGTGGATAACTATGAAAAAAATAAGAAAAGAATAAAACTCGGATAAAGTCGAGTATTCAAAAAATGAATTTTATAACTATGGTATGAATAGACATTGGTCGTGTATCCGTCGTATACCAAAGCACCTTATTGAGCCTTGTCAAGCCTTATTGAAAAAAGAGAGAGTAAAATATAGAGGCCAATTTTATATATCAAAATGGTGGTAATTGAAATTAATAACTTGTTATTTTTTTATATTTATAAATAAGATGTTTTATAATTTTTTATAATTTATAATGCATAGAGATAGATATAAATTCATTTTACTCGCTTATTTATTTATTTTATGTCAATATTGTATATGATAATATCAATGTAATAAAAATTTCAGAAGAGCAATTATATTATTACTCGAAAAGATAAATTTTTAAGGCTCTAGAAAAGCGAATATGTTACTTGAAGAGATAACTTTTAAAGACTCTAGAAGAGTGAATTTATTAATACTTGAAGTGACATAATTTAAAGGCTCCAAAAGGAAAAATATGTTATTATTTGAAAGGATAAATATTATTATAAATAATGTACTATTCTTTCTAAAGTCTCATCGAAATTTGTTGAGTTTTAAAGATATTCATCTAAATTGATATCATATTAAGATAGCAAATATGAAAAATATTGAATACTTATATATTATAATTATTATATCGGGTAGAAAATATGTTTTGAAAATTTTATCCATTTTTTCTTTTGGTCTTTATTATAAATATTGGAATGATTGAATAAATACTATAGTAAGCCGAAGTTTATTAATTCAAATACTTTTATTATGTGGCATGACCAATTATTTTATCCTGGGTCTTTTATGATGTAAACAATTATTGAAAAATTCATATAGACATCTATTGAAGAGCTAGAAAATTCTTTAATTTAATGAATTTTCATGTTCTACATGTTTTCAAGGTAAATTGATTATTAAGCCATCACCAAGTAAAATTGAGATTGAATCTTCAGTATTTTTAGAATGTATTCAAGATGATATATGTGGATCAATTCATCCACCATGTAGACCATTTAAATATTTTATGGTTTTAATAGATACATCCATAAAATTGTCACATTTATATTTATTATCTACTCGAAACCTCGACGTTTTCAAGATTTTCAACCCAAATAATTCAATTACGAGCATAATTTTCAAATTATACCATTAAAATAATTCACCTTAATAATACTCGGTGAATTTGTCTTCTAAGCATTAAATAATTATTGATTGGATATTAGAATAAATGTTGAACATCTTATTGTTTATGTTCATACTCAAGCAAAATCATTTATCAAAAGGCTCGTAATTGATAGCTAAACCATTATTTAAAAACAAAACTTCAAGTTTATGTTTGGGGACATACAATCTTACATGCATGTAGCAACACTTATTCACATCAAACTCATAAATTATCGAAAATTCTCCCCCTTCAATTGGTTTATGGTCATGAGCCAAATATTTCTTATTTAAGAATTTTTGATATTGCGGTATATATCCGTAGTACTCCTCCATAACGAACTAAAATGGGCACTTAAAGGAGATTGGGAGTATATGTTGGATTTGAATCCCACTCGATAATTTAATATCTTAAACCATAAACAAGAAATATTTTTACAACTCGATTTATCAACTTCATTTTGATGAAATAGTTTTTTCAACATTATGAGGAGAGAATAAGGAAAATAAACGATTAAAAATATTGAAAAAAATATATATTACATGGAGTACTCTATCTTATATCATCATGATTCTCATATAAAATAATATGAACTAAAAGTTCAAAAGATAATTCATTTATAAGGTATTGCAAACCAACTACCGAAGCATTCTCGGATCGTAAATGAGTAGCTAAAATGCATGTCCCCGATGAGAATGCTCCTATTAGAATTGATATCTCGGAAGGACAATCTATTAATGTTATAACAAACGAATATAAAGCATGCCCGAAACATGAAAGATTGATAAGTTCTAAAGATAAAAATTCCTAAAAGAAAATGACAAATAATCAAGATGAAAATATAAAGGATGCAATATTTACAAAAATGGTCCATGATATTTTTGATAATAGGCCTCTAGAAGAAGTCTAAATGCCATAGAACAATCAAAAGACTTTGGTAAATTATGTCAATATAGAAAGAAAATAGGATAAAAAAGAAACATTTATTGATAAGATTTTTACATATAATGTTATAATTGATATTTTGAATGAAAATAAGGATCTTAGGCCCGACTTTGTTGAAGAATGTCGACATAGAGATGATTAGCCTAAATGAAAAAAACGATCCAGGTAGAATTATGTTCTCTTCTAGATGAATAATTTTTTAACCATAGTCAAAACACTTAAAGATGTTAAGCTAGTGGGATACAAATGAGTATTTTTGCAAAAACAAAATGAGATTGTGAGATACAAAATAAGACTTGTAACACAAGAGTTCTCGTAAAGATCCGACATTGACTATAATGAGACATATTCTCCTGGAGTGGATGCTATTACATTTCGTTATCTCGTTAGCTTGGAAAAACATACGAAAACTTCATATCCATGCATTTAATGAATGTGATCATAATTTTTTTATTCATTTAAAATGGGATCTATATGAAAGTCCTAGAAGGACTTGAGATGCTTGAAGCATGCAATACATATTCTCAAGAAATGAATTCAATTAAATTATCAAGATCTCTATCAAAATTATTTTACTATTTATTTTATTATTTTAGTTTTTTGAAATTTAATTTATGTTATACTTTTATTTTTATTTTTTATTTTTCTATATATATATATATATATTCTTTATTATTAACATGTGTGCAAGTGGTATAATTGCTTCAATAAATATTTATTAAAATAAAGTTGTAAAAATAACCATATTTGTTTATGTATCTTTATAAAAAAATCAAAAAAGTGTTTGTGATAA